GCTCACATCGCTTATCTGCTTTTGCATGAAAGGGAAGGAGGCAGGGGTCATTCATTACTTCCCCATCCTTTAGTCCGGGAAATGGGCCCAGAGAGATCAGGCGAGTTGCCTGTGGTCACACAGCTGGGCCTGGCTACCTGCCTCCAGGACTCCCTCTGGGGCATGTCTGGCTTTATAGCTCGTCCTCCCTGGATGGCTTCTCCAGGCCGCACGCTGCTGCCCAGCTGCTGCCCATGCCTGCCTCTCCAGTCCAGCGCTACCAACTCTGACCTGCGAGCAGTACTAGTCGCCCCACTCCCGGGCTCCAAAATCCTCAGTGGTTCTTGGTCTCAGTCTGGTCTCCAAGCCCCCTGTGAGCTGAATGTCCTACTGAGCTCCCACCACTGCTTAGCCAGATGGGGGCTTGAACCTCTGTGCCTTTGCCGTGGTGTGAGTGCGCTGAGTGACCCATTTGCTCCCATGATGCACAGCAGCTGAGACGTCAGGCTGACTGGTTTGAATGTTCAGCCCCGCCCCAGGCCGAGCACGGCAGCTCCCCTTTGTGGCACCAGCAGGGCAGGCCCAGAGGGGTCCTCATGTTTGCAGAGGCGCTGCCGGAGTTTCGAGGTCCTGCTCGGAGGGGTGGAGGTGGTTGCGAGGTTGGTGCTGTGGCCACACCTGGCATCCTGCTGCCCTCTCTGAGTGCCACCGCCAGTTACTCACGGGTCTTCTACTCTTGGCTTCCCACGCTCCAGCTTCTGAACCAGTACCCGGCCCATGCCTCCATTGGCAGGGAGCCAGACAGTCCGCAGTCACAGCCCTTCTGGATTCAAGCCCTGGCTCTGCCACTAAGGCTGGGTGACCTTGACCAGGCCCAACCCCTCATCTGTACAGTGGGCATCGTGCCCACCTGGAAGACTCTGAGCTTAGGCAATTGCGTGGCCAGCACAGGCCCTAGCGCACAGCGGCTCTCTGAACTCAACCTGCTCTTCCCTCCCCCCACCCTGCAGAAGGAGAAGATCCGGGAGAAGTTCGTGGAAGCCCTGAAAACAGAGTTTGCCGGCAAAGGGCTGAGGTTCTCCCGAGGTACGTCCACCCTGCAGAAGCCCTGGGAGGCCTGACCCAGGGGCCCTCTCTCACTGCCCACCCCTCCCGAGGCCAGGCTGCAGAAGTCCCTCCCACCCTCAGGGCACAGCAGAGGCTCAGTTTTTTGTTTGTTTTGGTTTGGTTTAGTGTTTTTTGAGATGGGGTCTCTGTTGCCCTGGGTAGAGTACAGTGACATCATCATAGCTCACTGCAACCTCCAACTCCTGGGCTCAAGGGATCCTCCTGCCTCAGCCTCCTGAGTAGCTGGGACTACAGGCACGGGCCACCACCCACACCTGGCTAATTTTTTCTATTTTTACTAGAGAGGGCATCTCGCTCTTGCTCAGGCTGATCTTGAACTCCTAAGCTCAAGCAGCCCTCCCTCCTCTGCCTTACAGAGTGCTAGGACTACAGGCGTGAGCCACTGCACCAGGCCAGGGGCTCAGTATTTACCGAGCCCCAGGCTTCCCCACAGCAGTAAATATCCCACGCCCACCAATTGCTCAGGCCAAAAACCTAAACATCTCCCTTCAGTTCTCTCCCCAACCCCTCCCCAAGTCCAGTCTCCTAGCAAATCCCAGGGCCCTATATACTCCCAAGTGCATCTGGAATCTGACTGCCACTCACCTCTGCTGCCAGCAGTTCTTCCCAGGCTCCAAGTGACCCCAACCCCACTGGCCCCGCTCTGCCACCTCATCCCCTTTCCAGCGGCCAGAGGGGAGCCCACCTGAGTCAGGGTCACTTGGTGCCTGGGTCATGGAGTGCCTCTGCTCAAAGCCCTTGAGAGGCTCCTCCTCATCCTCCAGATAAAGCCAAGGGCCCTGCCCCTGCGTCTCCCAGCCCTTTCTGTTGCTGGGACACTCCTCCCCCTTCCCAGCCCCGGGGCTGTACTTCGTCCCCCAACCATCCCCACTCTGGGCCAGGTCCCAGCGCAGGGTCATCTCCCTGCCCACGCTGGGGGGGGTGAGCCTCTCTCCCCCGAGGTGGTCTTGTTTATGCACCACTACCTGTTCCCCCAGCTGAGTTGCAGCTTCCATGAGGAATGTGACTCTGCCCTGTGCCCTGTGTTGAGTGGGCACTCAAGGGTTGTTGAATGAATGAAGATGGGGCCCTGCCCAAGCTCTCCCCCTCTGCTAGGCTTGTCTGCCCCTCCCAGGAGGGAATCACAGCGCCCCCCCACTCTCTCCGCAGGAGGCATGATCAGCTTTGACGTGTTCCCTGAGGGCTGGGACAAGCGCTACTGCCTGGACAGCCTGGACCAGGACAGCTTCGACACCATCCACTTCTTTGGGAATGAGACCAGCCCTGTGAGTGCGGCCCAGCCCAGGTTCCCCTCAACCCAAATCGCCCAAGGTCCAGGCCAGGACACAGGGCAACAGAACAGACCTCTTGTGGGGGTGGGGCTCCCTGAGAACAGCCATTGCTCACAGCCCCAGCACAGATTGGAAGGCTGGGCCCAGAGTGGGCTGGACTCTTATTCCATGTCACATAGCAAGTCAGGGCAGGGCTGGTGACAGCTGAGATGAGCTTCTTGGTAGGTTCGAGGGGACGGGAGGAGGACAGGGCGGCTGCAAGCCCCACCGTGGGAGCCTCCTCCAGGCTTCACCCAAATATGCCTTTTCTGCTCTTCTGTGTGCAGGGTGGGAATGACTTTGAGATCTTTGCTGACCCCCGGACTGTTGGCCACAGTGTGGTCTCCCCTCAGGACACAGTGCAGCGATGCCGAGAGATTTTTTTCCCAGAGACAGCCCACGAGGCCTGACCCACACCTATCACGGTGACTTCCAAAGAGCCAGGCCCAGGCCTACAGAGAGGCCCTGGCGCTGGATGGGTGCTGGGGCCCCTCCTGCTCGGGCCCAGGGCACCTGCCCTGTGTACCTGCTGCAGCGCCCACCCAGATAGGGCCAGGGGCTGTGAGGATGACTGTCCCTAGCCGGTCGTCCCCTGGTGAGGCTGGCTTCTGTCCTCCCAGGGCCTAGTGTTCCTGTCCTCTGCCCAGTGGCCCTGGCCACAGCTGCTGCTTGTGTTTCTGAACAGAACAGGTTTCTGTCTACACAGAGGGGAGGTGTGTGCAAGTGTCATGTGAGATCTGGCCCACCCTGTCTGCCCGCCCCAGTTGACTGGGTGCCAAGTGGTGGGAAAGGTGCATATTTTAGAGAACTTTATGTCACAAATATTAAAGTTCCCAGAGCAAGGTGTGGTGTCAGTTGTGTCTGAATGGGTGATTGGCCCCAGTCACCACTGCAGGCGAGAAGCAGGCACGGAGGGCAGGGACTTGGGCCAGGACACACAGGAAGTCTTCGATCCAGTCGGAGGGGGCTCCATGGAGGCCCCAGCCAAGGGCCAATTTGGTGTGTCCTTCCCCAGCCCCTTCTCTGGGGACCCAGACAGACAGAGGCAGCTCTGGCCACAGTAGGTCACAGTTGAGGGTTTATTGCCAGTGTTAGGAAGGATGGGGAGCCCAGTGGCGGGGGCCTTGGGAGGGTCTCTGGCTGGGCACCGCAGGGCCCGTGAGTGGGGAGGAGAGCTGCTGCCCCACCCCAGGTGGCCCTGAGCCAACTGGCGCCTAAAAGGGGCCTCCTCACAGGAGGGAAGCCTTGGGGACTCCTAGGAGTCAACCTACGCCAACAGGCGCTCTGCCATGGGAAGTGGGATCCTTGTTCGTCAGGGGACAGGCCTTGCTGAGCCTATCTCAGAGTAGGGTACCAGATGGGCGGGGCCTCCCAGCTTTGGGGCTGTCTGGCATACCTCGGCAGCTCTGGGCTCCCAGCCTCTGTGTGGTGAGCACTGGAGCAGGCTTGGGGTGCAGATGCCCCACTGACCAATGCCCTGGGGTCTTGGGGCACCTACAGGGCCAGAGATCCTCCTAGGCAGGCACTGACCCCCCCCCTCATCCTGGGCATTTGAGCCCCCAGTTTTACTCACAGATGGGGTCTCAGAGTCACCGTCCCCTGGCAGCCCTCCCGCGAACCTGTGGCCCCATTTCCCCCATCAGGTGATGTGCTCTCTGGAAGGGAGCGTGCCAGCCAGGGGTGGGGAGGTGGAGGCAGGCAGGGCCCTCCTTCCCCACATCCCAGGCCCCCATCCCACCTAAGAGTGCGCGTGCGCACACACACACACCCCCTAGCCCCAAAGGGACTCCAGGTGGCAGGGGGCCACACATCAGGGACGGACAAGGTAACCACCTCAAGCCACTGGCTTGTCAGGGGCCAGTGGGAGCCTCCCGTCCTGTGGCTTTGGGATGAGGGTCTAGCGAGGGGGTTGCAGGACCGGAGATCTCCCAGGCTGAGGGCCATCCTCGTGGGCACCCAGCCCTGGCCCTGCCTGAGGGGACGTGTGTCCGTCCATTGAGGTGTCCTCAGCAGCCGTTGTGGCCAGGCACAGGGCGGAGTGTCCGTTTGTGAGTCGGGATAAAGGAGATGGCTCCATTGCAGCTGGGGAGGTGGACCCCCCCTCCATGGACCCTCACCTCAGGGCAGGGAGAGGCCGCTGGCTCAGTGTGGCCCAGGGGAAGGAACACAGCTGGCCAGGCTGAGGAGGGCGGGGGGACTGGCTGGCAGCTCAGGAGCCCCAACCCCCTTCCACCCTCAGGCCCCTCTTTCCTGCCCCACAGTGAGGAGCTCCTCCAGAGCACTCACCAGCCTGGCTTCCGAGGGGAAAGGTCCAGGCCACGGTGGGAGACCCCAGCCCAGGGCGGGGGATGTGACTAGCACAGCAGAGTCTGGCCCCGGGCCAGGGCCTGGCAGAGGAGGACACAGAGTGGGGGCAAGAGGAGCGAGCGTGTATGGAGGGGTCCCACTGTTACCCTGGACCCTGACTCGAGGACAGTGGCCAAGAGGCCGAGTGGGCCCGGTGTGTCTAGGGCAGGGAAGGGAAAGAGGCAGTGGACAGCAGAGAAGCCAGGCCTGGCAGCCTTCCCCTCCGCCCAGCTCCTGGCCAGCTCACACAGCAGTCACGGGCCACAGGGGTGGGTGGAGCACACGCTCACAGCCACAAGCACAGACAGACACGCACACGGGGACATGCCCCAGGGACTGGCTAGCCAGCACAGTGGGGGCACAGGGCTGGCTGCTGCCCATCCACCCCGTGTGGCTCCCCACCCACCCAGCCTAGGAGCCCACAACCTGGCCAGACCACGTCTCGTGGGGAGTGTGGGGGGCCAACTGGGTGAGCACCACCTCCACGGCCTGGAACTTCTGGTTCTTCGGCGGGATAGGGCACATCTTGTAGGTCACCTCGTCGCCCTCCACCGGCACGTACTCCCCCTCGATGCTGGTGGTGTGGGAAGGGGTGGGAGAGGGGGTCAGCCCAAGAGCAGGCCCCACTCCCGAGACAGCCCTGCCACCAGCTTCAGGAGGCCTGGCCCTGGGCCTTGCTAGGCCAGGGAGACTGGGCAGCCTCGCTTCTCAGAGCCTCGGCTCCCCGGTCTGTAAAGTGAGACTCACAAACGGTACCTCCCTGTCTCTGTCCTGTGGGCGCAGGGTGGTGCCTGACTGGCCTCCCCGCCACCGCCCCTCCCAGGGCCCCCTCCCCGCCTGGCCCCAGCCCTCCTCTGCCCATGCACCCTCAGCCGCTGCAGAGCAGGGAGAAACGTGCCAGGAATGTAGACCATGGCCAGGGCCAGAGGGGAGAGGCCTGGGGAGGCGTTTTTTTGAGGCGTTGGGAACACTAGGGCAGGGGCCCAGCCAAGACGGGAGAGGACTCACTCAGATACGTGCACGAAGATGTCCTCCGACCCGTTCTCAGGGGTGATGAAGCCATGGCCCTGTGAGCGTGAGAACTGCTTGCAGACGCCCTTGAACACTGGGCCCGCTGAGGCTCGGGCTGTCCTGGAGACAGGGTGGGAGGATTAGAACTTTGGCCTGGGGAGGCCCTCCCTGGACCCCCACAGCCTCTGGGCCCCCCAGCTAAGCCTGCCTCAGGGCTGCAGGGGACCCACCCCAGGCCAGAGACAGTGCCCCTCTACACAGCACCCTCCCTCCTGAGGTTGTTCGGGCTCAAATGTATTTCCTGTTGTAAGATTTGTGTGAAGACTGTCCGGCATAGGTGTGAATGCCTCCCCAGATGGCGAGCTCACTGTCTCCTCGAGTACTGTATCCTACTCGCCATTCCTCACTCGTCATTCACTAAGCGTCTGCTCTGTGCCTGGCCTTGGGTCAGCACAGAGGACAGTCAGAGCCGACAAAAAACTCCTTTGGCCAAGCCAAGTCTGTCTCCCACAAACCCCCTCTCCCATAGGACCTCACCCAGTGACCCACCCCAAGGCCCAGAGCTAGTCTCCGTGCCCACCCTGTCCAGAGATTAACTTCACATCTCGATCTGTGCTCATGCTGTTCCACCTGCCCGAACCCCCAACCCCCTCACCTGGTACGGCCAGAACCCCCTCTTCCCTGACAGCAGGCCCTCCCCCTCCCCCTGCCAGGTGTAACGCAAGATGGACGAGCCCCCTCTGGATCTTAGGCAGCTCAGGGGCTGGGACTTTGTCTTATTCCTCCTGCAGCCACCGGCCAGGAGCTCAGTAAGTCTTTGTGGAATGAATGGATGGAGGGGTGGGGGATGGATGAACAATCACTGCAGTTACTGAAGGTCCACACCCTGCTCCCTGTCCTCAGGTGAGGGCCACAGGGGTTGGAGGAGGGTGAGCGGGGGCATCCCAGGCTGAGCCCCGTCCTGGGGAAGGGTCATGGAGCCTGGCTGAGGGGCAGGTACTCACGCCGAATACGTCCTGGTCCGTTTGGTGGGCAGAGGACTGGGTAGGTCCCGCGATGGGACACCGCCCCGTTCCCAGACTCTGCTGCCCTCCCGGTGGAAGGGGAAGGTGGGCCAGACAGGGGACTTGGGGGAGTGGAGCGGGGGCACAACCGGGGGTGACGTGGACTCCGATGTCATGGTGGGGCCAGCAGGGGAGCCTGGTGGGCTCTGGGGAGCAGGGGCCGGCGAAGGGTTTGGGCGTCCTTGTGGGCAGGGCCCGGCCTGGCCCTGCTCAGCGGCCTCTCTGGCCACGGGCTCCGTCTGGAAGTGGGAGAGAGAGGCACAGTGAGTACAGTCTGGGGGGTGCAGCTTCTGGACCCCGGACAGTAGGCAAGGGGGCCGGTCCTGCCTCTGCCACTGCTTCAGGCCCCTCACGGCTCCTTCCTGGCTGAGCGTCCTCACCGGGAAGGCAGAAGAGTCAGGTGACCCTTAAGTCCCAGCTCACAGTTTGACTCTAACTCCAGGGCCCTGGGAGGTGGTGGGTGGGCAGCCAGTGATGGTCTGGAATATAGTTTGGCGTAAGTGTCGGCTGTTTCAAATTCAAAGACATCGGTTCAAATCTCAGCTTTGTCACCTACAACTTGGTGGCCCCAAGCAAGCCACTCAGCGGCTCCAGCAGGGCCGGTGGGAGTGCAGGCTCCAGCCCCAGGCCAGGGTTTGAATCCTAGCTCCCTGCGTGGCCTCAGGCGACACTGTTAACGTCTACTCCATCTCCTGGTCTGTAAAGTGGAGGTCGCATTGGCTCCTGTTTCATAGAGAAGTTGCTGTGAGGGTTGGATGACTTTCCACACGCTCAGAACAGGACCGGCATGTGGCGAGCGCTGGGGAACATTGGCTTTCTCCTCAGCCCTGGCCCGAGAGCACTGAGGACGGAACGACTTGGTGTGCGCGCCAGCGTCTGGCATCCAGAGATACCCGATAAATTGCTATTATCAAAGCTAATTCATAGAAGTCCCCAAGTCAACAGCTCAGCGCCTAGTGGCCTTGAGAAAATTCATTCCGTATTTTCCTCTGAGGACGAGCACATAATTCCCCCACCCAGGCACCCTCCACTCCTCCCCAAGGGTTGGGAAAAGATGCTGCTGTGGACCTCTGGGGTGGGACAGGTGGTCTGCCACAGTGCGGCTGGGAAGGACCCGGAGACCAGAAGAGCGACTCTGCCACTTGTTAGCTGCTGACCCCGAGCCTCAGTTTCCCCATCTGCACAATGGAGCATATAAACCCTGCCTCGCTCTCTCACAGCCTGTGGTGAGGCTTGGCTGAGCCTGGGGAGATGAAGAAGCTCCCATAGTCCATGGTGACACAGGAGTTGGGGTGATGGGTTCCCCACCCCCATTCCATCTCCCCAAGGCCTGGAGGTCAGAGGTGAGTTCCTGAGCTCCAAGTCTATTTCTGGCCTCCATTTTGTGACCTCTCCCCCTCCCCCAAAGCCTGGAGTTTCCAGGGAAGGGTTTAGGGCTCCTTTTGAGTCCAGAGCTCAGGAAGCACGAAAACAGAGCCCAGGAGTCACTCCACTCAACCCGCGTCGCAGGAGCAGGTCTCCCAGCCTCTGCTCAGGATTATGTGGCAAGTGGGATTTTTCTGGCCCAAGGTGATGAGCTGGCTCTGCCACCCCTGGGAGTGGATGGAGGTGGAGACCCATCCTGTCCCCACTCCCCTGCCTGGCTCCGCCCTCTAAAGCTGATGTGGGCTTTTTCTCTCCGAGCTCATTCCAGGAGGCAGGGTGGGCCAGGTTCCTCATTGTCATCCCTGTTTTAGGGAGCAGAAAACGGAAGCTTCAAGCAGCCACACAAACTCGAACGTGAATGTTCACAGCGGCCCTTATTCACGATAGCCAGCAAATGGAAACAACCCAAATGCCAATCAGCAGATGAACGGGTAACAAATTAAGGGATAGCTGTACAGGAGAATATCACTCAGCCATGAAAATAAAATAAAATTCTGATTCACACTGCAACATAGATGAACCTTGCACACCTAAGTGGAGGAAGCCGGACACAGAAGGCCACGTAGTGCCTGATTCCACCCATGCGCGATGTCCAGACATAGGCGGTAGAGCAGTGGTCACCAGGGGCTGAGGGAGATGGGAATGGGGAGTGACTGCTAACGGGTAGGGAGTTTCTTTGGGGGTGATGAAAATGTTCTCCAATTGACTGTGGGGATGGCTGCACAACTCTGTGAATACAGTAGAAACACTTGAACTGCACACCTGAAGCAGGTAAATTTTATGGCGTGTGACTTACATCTCAATAAAGCTGTTGCCAAAAAAAGAAGACAGGGCAGCAAAGTTGCCCAAGACGACAGAGCTGAGAAAGCAGCAGATGCCCTGCAGTGCACTCCTGGAGTGCTGCCTGTTCCACCTGGGTGAGGGGTGGCAGGCAATGGGGACAAAGGCCCTGCCTCCCTCTCTCTAGGAAGCTGGGCGGTCCTGACCTCCCTGCTGCAGTTTTCCCAGGCCTGCCATTGTGCTTGGCAGTGACAGCCAGTGCTGGGAGGTCCTTGGGGCTGGAGGCGGGAGATGTGGGGAGAGAAGGGGAGGGCAGGGGGGAGGGTAGAGGCAGCCCAGGGTGGTTGCCAGGGGAGACATAGCTGAGCTGGGGCCTGCTCTGGCCAGCCAGGCCTCCCACTGGAGTGACTGTGACTGCAGCTCTAGGCCTCATGCTAAGCAGGCAGCAGGGACACGGAAAGATGCACTAAAGATGCCAGGTCAGGGTTGAGGGCAGCTTCCCCTGCCTGCGCCTCCCCACCATGGGCTCTAGAGGTGGCCAGAGACCAGGCAGCAGAAGGAGCAGAGGAGGAATCACAGCAACAACGATGGTTGTTCTAGGACTGGCTGGGAGAGGGCAGGGCCGGGAGCTGCAGAGAACATGCTCCCCTCCTCCCACCCCAGCCTCAGTTTCCTCATCTGGGAAATGGGATTACAAGAATCCCTCCTCCAAGGGCTCTTTTGAGGATGAAAGGAGATGGAATGCAGGAAGCCCTGAGCAAGAGCTTGCTCCTCCCAGACAGGCTGCTGAACCAGTGTGGGGGAAGGAGGGTCAGAGGGAGGAGGAAGGAAGATGGTGGGAGGGGGGAAGGAGAGACCTGGCCGAGCCAGGCCAAGCCCATCATTCACTGTCATCTCCTGTGTCCTTAAGGACTCACCCACCCCTCACAGCTCATGGCTTTTTGTTTAATCTCTGCAACAGCCCTTTAAAGCTGGTGCTATGGGCTGGGGCGTGGTGGCTCACGCCTGTAATCCTAGCTCTCTGGGAGGCCGAGGCGGGCGGATTGTTTGAGCTCAGGAGTTCGAAACCAGCCTGAGCAAGAGCGAGACCCCGTCTCTACTAAAAATAGAAAGAAATTAATCGGACAACTAAAAATATATAAAAAAAAATTAGCCGGGCATGGTGGCGCATGCCTGTAGTCCCAGCTACTCGGGAGGCTGAGGCAGGAGGATCACTTGAGCCCAGGAGTTAGAGGTTGCTGTGAGCTAGGATGACGCCGCGGCACTCACTCTAGCCTGGGCAACACAGTGAGACTCTGTCTCAAAAAAAAAAAAAAAAAAGAAAGCTGGTGCTATGATTACCCCACTTTGCAGAGAAGGAAACTAAGGATCGAAGAGGTGAAATCCCTCGCTCAAGGCCGCACACCAGTCAATGTCTGGACCAGGATTTGAACCAGCACAATCTGATTCTGGAGTAGGAAGTTCAGGCCCTGCACTGTGACTGACTTGCTGTGTGACCTAGCGCAGGGCCTTTCCCTCTCTGGCCCCTGCCAGGGCCTGGACCTGGGGGAGATGCACAACGCCCAGCAGCCCAGGAGACCAGGGAGAAGGGGACAAGGAGCTGCAGAGTGAGCCTCCAGTTCAGACCCTCTCTCCAGGGTGTTGCTGCCCAAAGCGGCAAGTACAGGCTTCTATTGTCTGAATGCGTGTACTGTGCAAAGTCCTTACAGAGATTATTTTCCATGTTTCAACCTCTCAGTCACCCTATAAGGTTGAAATTACAATTTTTCCATCTTGCAGATGAAGAAGCTGAGGCTCAGAGAGGTTAAGTGACTCGCCCAAGGTCACACAGCAGGTGACAGAGTCCAGATTTGTCTGATGAGAAACCAGTGCTCCTCCTGTGCAGACAAATTCTGTTCCTGCTTCAGCCAAGATGAGGATGGAGTTTTCCCAAAAGAACTTTCCCAAAAGAAAAGAAGCTAAATGAGAAAATAAACTCCCTCAAGAGCTGAGAAACTGGTTATGTTTGCAGAACATTTGTTTCACTTCAAACGGGACTAAAGGCCAGCCCTGGAGGGACTTGTGTGTCTGTCTGGGGTATCTCCTGCCAGGAACAATGCCCTTCAGAACCAGCAGCTGGGGGGGTAAGAGGGCAGCTCAGGACTCAGCCTGCCTGGGTTTGAATCCAGGCTCCACTACACCCTACTGAGTGACCCTCCCTTTCTGAGCCTCAGTTTCCTCATCTGTCAAATGGGGCTAACCATAGCACCCTGTCCAGGTTGCTGGGAGGAGCCAAGGAGCTGTGTCAATGGTCCCTCTGTGAGTAGGCACCTCCCAGCCCTGCGTGTTGGCTCTGAGCCAGGCCCTGCATGAAGCCCCCTGGACTCTGATTCTGCAGACAAAGGGGCCAGAGGCAGCAAACACAAAACAGCAAGGCTGTTTGGAGATAACCTGAGGCGTGATGCAGTGTCACAGGGCCATGGCTCTCTGGAAGGTGACTCAGCCCTGTAGCAGGCGATCCTGGCCTGTGCTGGGGCTCCACTCGCATCCTCAGCTTCCCCAAAAAGAATGGGGTAGAAAATGGCTATCATGGTCCTCTCTTGGCCATGAGAGTCCCCCTTAGCCTGGGCAGGTCAGGGAAAGCCAGCCTGCTCAGCTGCCCCCTGCTGCGTGACCTGCCTGCCCCTCTCTGGGCCTCACCTTTCCCTGCAGCTACAGGAATCATTGAATCATCGCTGGCCCAGGTGACTAATAAGGAGCAGTCCAACTCTCCTCTGCGCTTTTCAAAAACACGCATGCAACTGCCATAAAACTGAGTGCCAGACTCTGGGACAACAAGCATGAGGGAGACGGGCCTGCCCTTAGGGACGTCCAGTCTGGCGTGGGAAACAGACATACGGACGATCAAAACACGGCGTGGGAAGTCCTGACGCAATGAGTCTCAGCCACCATCGATTGGTCACTGACCGTGTGCCAAGCTGTGTGCCAGGCCCTTTGCCCCATTTCCTCATTTAGTCCTCACGAGAACCCTGTGCGATGATTACTGTTAGTGCACCCATTCCTCAGACGGGTAAACGGAGGCTTGCTGAGGTCACCAGCCGGTCAGGTGCAGCACTTGTGCATCTGGAGATGTTTGGCAGAGGGTGTGCAGAAAGGCCTTGGGCAGGAGGAGAGGAGGGGAGGGGACCAGCCACGCCCTGGGAGCAGCTCCCGCCCTCCCCTGGAGAAGGAGGAGTGGGATGTGGAAGACCCGGGGAGCCAGGACTCAGGGTTCTATTTCTAGCTTTGCGCTGACTCAGACCATGACCTTGGGTGAGTCATTCGCCAACTCTGCTAAGCTTAAAAACAACTCTCCCAATAAAAATGTCCCCGCCCCAAGCCCCCATTATGGGGGAGCAGATGGGGAGGAATGGGTATGGTTGCTTAAAAATAGAAAGGACAGGGAACACAAGATGACAAGGAAGGGCTTCCTGAATGTTGGGGACTTGTCCGTGGTGTGCCCTGGGAGCGAGCAAACGAGCTCAGGACGGCCCGGTGGAAGCCGCACTTCCCTTGGAGGCCCCTCACCCAGCCTCCCAGATGCTCCTTAAAATATATCAGTGCAGGAGCTGCTCCTGCAGCCGAGGTGACCTGATTAAACCTGGCACTCGTGTGTGTGTGTGTGTGTGTGTGTGTGTGTGTGTGTGTGTGTGTGTAAGGGGCTGCCCAGCCAATACTTGACCTTAATTATTTAAAAGACCCTTTAACCCTTCTGCTTGTCATATTCCCAGGTGGCCGTGTGGGCTGCTGTGGTTAAGGCATTTCTGACATCGGTGGTGGTGGCTGTGTGACCCTGGGCAAGTTGCTTTCCTATTCTGCGTCCCCCTAGAGAGAGGCACAGACTGGTCAACGCCGCATACCGAGTGGTGGAGCTCAAACTCACGTCAAAGCCCATGAGCTTCCCGCTGTGCCAGGGCAGCCCACTGTGACTGTCATTTGCTGGCTTTGGGGCAAGAGAAGAACCCCCCCACTGCTTTTTAGCCCCCTGTTTTGCTGTTCAGCATGGACAAAGGTCTGAACTTCCCCAGCCCTGTTCCCACAAGGCTCTGGAGCCTGGCAGCCCTGGTTGGGACCAGTGGATGTGACCAGCTAAGCCAGGCCCTGAGCGCCCTCTGCTGGGTGAAGCCCTAGGGGTGGGGGGCACCTCCAGACCAGCGGGCAGGTGTCCTCTCCCCACAGTCATCCATATCAGGCCCCCAGCCCCCACCCAGGGACCCCCTCCCTGACGAGTAGACATCCATGAACACTGCCCAGCCATTTCTCTCCAGGCCTGGGAGAGGCCAAAACTGTCCTCTGGCCTTTCCCAGGCCGCAGTGCAGCTAGTTCCCATTTACACCTGTCATCTTATTTTTTGGACGAGGGGGCAAACAGATCTAGATGCGCAGATATGGAAAATAGATGGTTTTGGAATAGACTTCAAGGAAACGGGAGGGGAGGGCAGGGCAAAGCTGGGAGGAGAAAACATTTGGAATTTGGAGGCCCAGAGGCCTGTGGGATGGAGTCAGGTTTTGGGAAACCAGCTCCCCATCCCCCAGGGGGTTGGAGACCTGTTCCAGGGATAGGCCCCAACTGGACCCCATCCCGGGCACGGTGCCAGGCTCTCAGAGAGGTTGCCCACCCCCCACCGGACACACTTCCTTCTCCCCTCCCCCAGCCCCAGCGCTGCAGCAGTTCACACTCTGTATTTATTATTGTTCTCACCCTGCGTCCCCTCCCCTCTCCCTGGGAAGAGCCTGCAGGCTGGCAGCTTGGCAGGAACCTGCTGTCTCCTTGTGGGTGCCAGCATCGCCCCTTATCTCCGCCTAGACTCCTTGTGCCAGGGTCAGGTCACTCAGGGGCTTGGTGCCGGCCAAGGCCACCCTGAGTCCCTGCATCCCATGACAGGGATGGCCTGGCAGGCCCTGGCTTATCTCTGTTTCCCTGCAGGGGCTGCAGGGCTGCACTCTGGCCAGCAGGAGGTCAGAGCAGGGCGGGACCAGCAGGCAGGGGAGAGGCAAGTGCTTGGGTGGGGGTGGCTCCCAGGCAAAGAAAATAATAACATGGGGCCACCTCTCCAAGCCAATTAGCACAATTATCCCCATCACATGGGGGTGGGGAATAGAGTCAGGATAAGGTCCAAGTGTCTGCCTGCCCCAGAAAGTCCCTCCCTGGCCCCAGCCCCAAATTCCTGGGGAAAGACCAAGGATGCTCCCCCTACACTGTCCTTTCAGCTTCTGAAAGGAGCGCTGATTTCTCCCTTCACAGCTTCCTCTCCTGGTACCCCGACAGGAGGCTGCGGCTTGGCTTGGCAGGTATCTGCTGTTCTGTGCCTCCCGAGGCAGACACGAGTCCCAGACACAGACACAGACACACTCCCACGGGGAGCCGCACAGCCTCAGCTCCCTTGGGGCCCCCGGGGGGGGGAGGGAGGGACAGTGGGCACCCTACGTCCCCCAACATCCCAGCGGGGAGCTGAACTGGGCTGGTCAGCCCCCATCTTCCCAGGCCGGCAACCTGCCCCCCACGCCTCCCCTCCCCCCTTCGCCCCACCAAAGCCACAGTTTCCAGCGAGGTGCCCTCGGCCCCATCCAGCCCCTCACCTCTCCGGGTCCCGGCACTGCCTCCCGCGGTGTCAGCGCCCTGCCCCTCTGGCGCGGAGCTGGCGGGCAGGGGACGGGGCTGGAGGATGCGCTGTGTGTGAGAGTGTGTGTTGTGTGCGGCGGCACCTCGGCCCCTCACTCACTCACACACGCCTTCCAGCTGACGTCAGGGAGAGCGGGAGGGAGGGCCTGGGGTGGGAATTTGTACTCCCTGCTTAAAGGGACACCAGGCTCCGTCACCTCTGGCCCAGACACCACCTCCCGAGTCAGGCACCACCAGGTGAGAGACTTAGCTGTGTGTGTCTCTCAGGGCCCTAAAGCTTCTTTTTTTGGAAAGTGGCTTTTATTGCTGGGCCAAGGTATAATTTGCCCTGCCGAGTCAGGGTCGCCGCTGAGTAATGCAGGGGAGGAGGCCCCGGGGACAGCGCTGCATTCCTGGTAATTAGAGAGCAAGCGGGGTGGTGAGTGTGAGCGAGTGTGAGCGTGGGAGTGTGGGGGTCCTGCGGGGCGGGGGGAGAATGGAGATCTGAGCAGAGAGGCAGCCTCCTGCGGGTGCTTAAGGCGAGCTGGGCCCCCAGGGCTCCCAGACATTCCTCTCTGCTCTGGACACCCAGAGTGGCCCTGCCCGCCCTTGGCACAGACGCTGTGCTCAGGTCCTTCTCCTCACCTGGCTCTGAGAGCCTGAGAGTGAGGAGTGTGGGCAAGTCACAGGAACTCGCCTGTCTGGTACCCAGGAGGCCCTTGGGATGTTTCTACCGAATTAGATTGAAGAGGACCGTAAGGGAGTGATAAGCTTGCTACACCACACACACACACACACACACACACACACACACACACACACACACACACACACACACACACACACACACACAGCCTGCGAGGCTCTGAGCAGAGAGGACCCACCACCCGCATGCCCAGTGGAACAGGCGCCTGCTCCAGACAGAGCTGAGTTTCCACATCAGACAAGCCCTGGGTGTGAAGTGCTCCAGAACTTTCAAGCTGTGTGACGTTGGGCCAGTCCATTGTGACTCTGATCCTCCACTGAGAGGCCTGGCGGAGGTTCCCGTGTGGTACTATAAGCCCGGGGCCCGGCTGTCGGTGACCTCCACGAAGGGGCTTCTCTCTGCACCCCCACCCCACCCCTTCTCAGCCCCGGCTTGGAAAGAAGCAAGTCTTTCCCTGGTGTCACCCAGAACCGCTGAAGCACCGGCATTTTCAAAAGAAGTCATATTAAAATAAAAAGGAGGTGGTAGTTAAAAGGGAAACAATCAAGAGAAACACGAAAAGCTAATAAAAATAGCTAAGATGCGTTGAAAGCTTCCTGTGCGCCAGGCAACATGCTTTGCCCTCATTTAAACCTCACAACAACTCACTCATTTATTTTTGTCATCCCTGTTTTACTGGTGGGGAAATAGGGGTTCAGATGAGAGGAGGGACTTGCCCACGTTTGCTCAGCTGGTTAGAGGGGCATTTGAACCCAGGGCCACCCAATGCCACCACATATCCCTGTCTTCCAGAACCTCCCAGAACAATCAGGCTCAGACAGTTACGAGAGGTCTGGTGATAAATGCTGCATGTTGCTACCAGAGCCTGTCTGCGGACTCACCCAGGGGACCCTCCCTCCCCAAGTTCTCTTCCTCCTTTGCCTTCCTCTCCTCCAAAAATAATAGTGCTCACAGGGCCCACGTAAGCGTCACCTCACCTGCCTCTTAGAACTGGCTCAGGGAGACCCTGGGCCTTCGCGAGTCACCCGGAAGTGATAGTGACGGAGCGGGGGCCCCAGGCCAGTTTCCACCCACGTTTCTCAAACCCACCCCCCTGCCCTTCCAGGAGAAGGCTGGGGCCGTGGCGGACCCTGCAGTTTCCTCCGCCAGCCTCTCAGGAGCCTGTCTGCTGGGACCTGCCTCCCTGCTCTCTCCGCTCCTGGGCCGCAGGCCCCTGCCCGGAACCAGTGTCAGGGCTGGAATGTTCGCGGCCAGGCCAGCTCTTCTCCCGTGGCCCCTGAGTTGGTGGAGCCGTTGGTGGCCAAGTGCCGCATGACAAGCTGATGGGCCAGCTGAGGGGGAGTGGCTGGGAGGACTTCTCTGAGCTCCAGGTGACAAGAGGAGCCAGCCTTGCCAGAACGGAGAGAGAAGACATCTAGAGGGGAGACACCCTCAGGCGGGCGTGAGCCTGGTGTGGCAGAGGACCAGCAGGGAGGCAGGCCGGGCCGGGCGAGGGAAGGGGACGCAGGGTCCCTGAGGCCTGGCTGCGTGGCTGAGGCCCTGACCCCTGCCTTCGCGTCCAGTCCCGCTCTGGGCCTCTGGGCGGGCCGGTGAACACGTGCCCAGGGCTGCCGGGCAGCCAAGTGCAGTGAATGAAGCGGCTGGGCCGCGTCTTGAGTAGCGCGGTGATTACCGGGCACAGCTGTTCATTGAGGAAAAGAGCAGCCTGCGGCGCCACCCACCCACCCACCAGCAGCTGAGTAACAAAGAAATCGTCTGCCTGAAACCAGGGGCTCCGCTGTGGAGGCTATTTTTGTGAAAAGCTGAGAATTCGAAAGCACATCTCGAAAGCCTCCTAGGCTTGGAGGAGCTGAAGAGGTGGGTTAGAGCCCAGCGGCCCTGAGTCCTACTATCGACCGCAGCCCACCGACAGCGGCCAGGCCCGGACCACCAGACCACCGCGGCCTCGCATCTACATCCCTTTAAGGTACATAGGACTCTAGGTGCTGGTGCTATTCCACAGAGCATGAGGCAGCTCAGGCACAGAGAGGTTAAGAAACGTGTCCAGCGTCACACAGCTGTTGATGGAGCTGGTTTTAAAACGCAGGGGTTCCTGCTTCATTACACTCATATTATCTTTTTCTTGTTTTTTAAGACAGAGTCTCGCTCTGTTCCCCAGGCTAGAGTGCAGTGGCTCAATCATAGCTCACGGCAGCCTTCACCTTGTGGGTTCAAGCGATCCTCTGCCTCCGCCTCCCTCGTAGGTAGGACTACAGGTGCACAGCACCATGCCTGGATAATTTTTGAATTTTTTGTAGAGACGAGGTCTCGCTATGTTGCCCAGGCTGGTCTTGAACTCCAGGCCTCCCAAAGTGCTGGGATTACAGGCGAGAACCACTGTGCCCAGCCTGCACTCTTACTCTTTCTGCTACGCCACGCCACGCTGCCTTTGAAACACAGCAGGGAACACAGCAGACATGCTCCTCGAGTTCACGAAGCTCATGTGTCATCTAGAGAGACAGACGATACCAAATACGCGAACATAAACGTATAATCACAAATTATGAAAAACAAACAAGCAAGGTGAGATGATAGAGATTAGCAGGGAGGAGTCCACCTGCTGAGCCTGTGGGCTGAGGAAAAGCCTCTCTGAGAGGAAACTCTGTAAGCTGAGCCCAAATGGTGAGACTGAACCAGCCTTGTAAAAAGCAGGGAAGAGCATTTCCTGAAAGGGGAACAGCATAGGTGATCCCCCAGAGGCAGGAAAGAACTCTGCATGTGGCTGGAGCAGGCAGTAGCAGGAGAGGGGGCAGGGGTCACATTCGGTGGGGTTCGGGGGGCCTAGCAAGAAGGCTGCTCCTCATCTGAAATGAGAGGGGAAGGCATGACATGTTCCTGCCTCCAAACAGCATAGCTGGCAGCCTGGCAGAGCCTCTGTGTGATTTGGTGGCGAGGAGACTTCTGAACTTTGCATCCTTGTCTGGGTAGAGATCAGTGTGGGCAGGAGGGTGAGGGGCTGGGTGTTCCCCCAACTGAGGCCCTGGCCCATGGTGGGGGGCCTCCTCCTGCAGCTGCTGCTCGGATTCCTTCCAGGTCATTGTGAGGAACTCTCCGTGAGGGGCTGGAGGGCCTGGCCCACAGCCCACCTCCCCTGCGCCCTGCCCTAGGTCTGACTCCCGGCTGTCCCAGGCCCGGGCTGTGAGCCGAGCCCTACTGGCCATCTGTCCACTCACACACACTCCTGGACACCTGGGCCGTGGGCCTCCAGCCTTCTGAACACTTAAGGCTCACCTCACCCACCCTCACCATCCGAGCAAGGCTGTCCCCGATGCCCTGGCTAGAGCAGCAGTCCTTGTCACTCACCATCACATCATCCATGTGACCTTTCTCATAGCAAGGCCTGAAATGATGTCCCCTACATATTGCTGTTTCCTGTCGGTGCCCCCAGAGCACGAGCCCCTAGAGGAGGCCTCATCACAGCGGCCCCCACCAAATACCTAGTGACTCTGCATTTTACTTTCTGCCCAAGCCAGAACAGAGAGCAACATCCTGGGGACATTTTGTTTAGGCCCCTTCTAGAATCTCCTTTGCCAGAGGCTCTTCAGCCTGTGCCTTTGCCTCTATGGGAGGGCATTTTAAAAGTGCCCAGAAGAGAATGGTTGCTGAGCCTATTCAGCAGACTGTCAAGGACATCACTCAGCTAGCTCCTCAGAGCCTCTGTCCCTTGAGAACCTGAGAAGTGCTCTGAAGTCTCAGAGTCAAGAAAACCTGGACCTACCTTCAATGCCTGGTGAGTTTCCACATTGTAATTGAAAATGTTTTTCTCTTTGCTTTGGCTGCTAGGAAGCTCAGAGCCAATAATTCTTCTATCACCAGCGAGTCTACAGGACCATGTATATCTCAGGGCTAATCTTTTCTTTTCGTCCCTCTTTCATTCAATCATCCAACAAATATTTGTCTGGGACTTGTATGCCTGGCACTTTTCCAGGTACTGAAGAATCAACAGTGAACAAAACAAAGTCCCCGTCTTCATGGAGCTTATAGTCAAGTAGGGGGAGGGAAGCAATAAAACAACTTAATACATAAACTATGTCATGTTGGAAGGCAAAAAATGCCAGGGAAAACTATTAAACAGGGGAGTGGGGGATAGTGGTGGGTGGTTTGCTATATAAAACAGGGCGTCAGTGCAAGCCTCAACACAGTGACATTAGAGCAAGGAGCTGGAGGAGGTGAGAGTGGTAAGAGGAACGGTGCTCAGGAAGAAGGAACAGCACAGGCAGAGGCCCTGAGTGGGGAGTGTGCCTGGGGCATCGGAGAAAGTTACCAGGCAGAGGAGTGGGGCATGAGGTCGGAGGGGACAAGGGGCAGGAGCACCCCAAGGGCTGGGAAGGCCATCGTAAAGCCCCGGCCCTTCCCCCAGGGAGATAGGGCATTGCAGGGTCTGGAGAGGAAGAGCTCAAACAATGTCTCTCTGGCGTCTGTGTTGGGTGCAGACTGCAGGGGCCGAGGGGAGGGACGTGGAACCCTGTCTAAAGGCTGCTGTGATGGCCCAGGTGAAGGGTAAGGGTGAGCGGGACCCCAAAGCAGCCATGGAGGTGGAGGGGAGAAGTCGGATTCTGGATGCATTTTGGAGGTAGCGACAACAGGATTTGCTGGGGGTTCATGTGGGGTGTGAGAGAGAAAGAAGACTCAGGACGATTCCTAGGTTTGGGCCGAGCAAGCAGAAGGATGAAGTCATTTTCTAAGACAGGGAAGGCTGACAGGAGCAGGTTTGTGGGGAGGGACAGCTAGGCTGCCACCATGGCTCGTGTTAGCCTTCAGTTGCTAAACAGAACTGTGGAGCAGGTGGGTGGCCCAGTCTGGAGGGGACAGGTGGGACCAAGTGGTAGGTGCTATGCCACCGCCGGCTGGAGTGTAGACAGAGCAGAAAGTGACCTGAGACCCCTAGCAGCTGGAGGTGGGGCGAGGGGCTCTGAGGTGGGAGGAGGACCAGGGTGAGCCTCCGAGAAAGGGTGTTTGGAGCAGGAGGGAGTGATCCCTGAAGACAGAATCACCACTGGATTTGGCCACGAGGAGCCACCAGTGACCTTGAGAAAGCAGCTTGGTCCGAGCAGTGGGGGCAAAGCCCTGGCTGCAGCAGGCTGGGGAGAGAATGGGAAGACGGGAGCTGCGAGCAGCAAGGACGGACGACTTGACTCTTGTGAGCAGTTGTGCTGGTAAAAGGAGCAGAAAAATGGGGCACTCACTGGAGGGAAAGGGGGCCAGAAGAAGCTTTTTTCTTTTCTTTTTTTAAGATGTGAAAAAAATCTTAATTGCTTTTTTTAATTTAAGTTTTATTCATTTTTGAACAGGCAGTATATTCCCATGATCCCAAACATCAAAGATTCCAAAAAGCATTTGGGAAAATATTCTCCCTCCTCCCCCTGTGCCTACCCCAGTCCTCAGGCACTCAGCTCCTCGCCCTGGAGACCACCAGTGTCATCAGTTCCTCACGCGACCTCCCAGAGCTACGTTCTGCACAAACCGGCATTATATTACTAATTTTCTCTCTTTTTCACACAAATAGTAACATCCCCATACACACTGCTTTGTACCTTGCATTTTTATTTATTTTATTTTATTTTTTTGGTAACAAAGTGGTCTCACTTTGTCACCCAGGCTAGAATGCAGTGGCTGATCGTAGCTCACAGCAATCTTGAACACCTGGGCTGGAGCATCCTCCTGTCTCAGCCTCTCAAGTAGCTGGGACTACAGGTGTGTGCCACTATACCTGGCTAATTGATTCAAAATATTTTTGTAGAAATGGGGTCTTGCTATGTTGTCCACGCTGGTCTTGAATTCCTGGCCCCAAGCGATCCTTCCACCCCAGCCTCCCAAACTGCTGGGATTACAGGCGTGAGCCACTGTGCCTGGTTTCCATTTTTAGATAACAATGTATCTTGAATATCATTCTATATCAACACAAAGAGCATTCTCATTCTTTTTTTATGCCTTCATATTTTTCTGTTATATACCGTGTATCTTTTCCAGCCTATGCTCTCCTGATGGACAGTCATTTGAGATCGGTTCTGTTAGTACCTCCCTTTTACAGAGGCCATGAGGCGTGGAGAGGTTCGTTGTGACGCCGTGGGAGCTCCGTGCCCCTGGTCACCCCATGTGACTCTCCTCCTCCTGCCTTGATTAGGTTCCAAACCTATTTCTCTCTCAGTCCTATACCCTCAACCATTATTTTGTTATTCTTTTGTTCATTTAAAGAACACATATTTACAAGCTGAGGTCATGCACCAGGCACTGGGCGAGGCCAGAGGATATGGAGGGACATGATAGAGAAGTCCTCTGCTGTCACTGAGTTTGCAGATTAAGTCATGTGTATTTGCTTGTAAGCCACCTCAAATCTTCCATGAAGTGATGTGGAGAATTAATAAAGAGGCCCGATCCCTGTTTTCACCAACGAGTAAACCAAACGTGCCAATAAATCATTGTTGCAATCCCCTGAGCTGAATACCGTAACAGAAGCCTGGGAACCCTACACACTGAGCGCTTTGGTGCTGGCCGAATCCCTGCAGCCTGGTCCCCCTCCAGCTTCCCAGCTCAGAGGTGAGGGTCCACCACCAGCCAGTGGCTGAAGCTCTCCGGGTTGGTTTCTCTCACCCCTATCCCCACCCCCAGGCCATCCCACCATTCTACCCCCTGAAGACCTCTGAGCTCCGCTCGGCTCTACTCTCCATGGCTACCAGCCTTGCTCCGGCCTAATCTTGCCGGGGCCAAATAATAACCTCCTCCCTGATCTTCCTGTCTCCACCCCAGCCCCTTCCCACCCGCTGTGCACCCAGCTGATGCGTCCCTGTGTCATTTCCCTGTCCTAACCTTCTTAGGCTTCCCTTTGTTGCCCTTGAGCTAATGTCATGGTAGGGGCAGAGCCAGTGGTTAGGATCGTGGGCTCTGGAGCCTCAGTCCCAGCTTTGCCACGAACTGGCTATGTGAACTTGAATGACCTACTTCACTTCTCTTTCCTTGGATGAGGCAAAATGAGACAATGAGATAAACGAGAATGATGAATGATAGCGAGATAAATAAGATACTGACAATAGCTCCTACATTATAGAGCTGTTGTGAGGATAAAAGTTAATACATGTAAAACACTTAAACAGTGCTTGACATATAATAAGTGCTCAATGTTAGCTGCTAATATTATAATAAGTCCCTCTAATCTGGACTCTGCTTAGGTCTCCAACTTCATAGCTTACCAGTTCTCATCTCCTGTGTAAATCAGCTGAGATTCTTTTGATTATCTAAAAGCACAAACTCAGTCTCTCTCCCTCTGTCTCAATCCACCC